CCCCAGACTGACTTCTAGAGTGGCTGTACCAGTTTGCATTCCCGCCCACTGTGGGCGAGTATTCCTCTTTCTCCATAACTTTGCCAGTGTTTGTTGTCAGGTGTTTTGCTGATTTTAAGGGCTGGGTTTCCTTACTGAACACTGCCCGGAAGTGGAAGGCCACAGAGGCTGTGAGGCTCCTCAGCTCCCGGAGAGAAAGATGGGTCTCAGTTTCCGGGGAAGCCACCAGGCACTGGGCACACACCGAGATGAGAGCAGCTTCAAGGATTTGCTGCCTCGTGCCATAACCTCTCCTGTTGGGTGCTGAGGACACTTAGGTTTTGACTTGCTGACTTTAGATTGTCCTGAATCTGCCTTTGCAGTGTCTTGGCCCCATGGGAGACATCATTAGGAAATGTGGGTGCTACAAAGACTCCCCTACACTGTTCATGATGCTTCTGTTTAGCCTCATGAACATTGTCTTACTGCAACATGTTAACGATTGTGAAGACTCTGTAGCAAGCACTTCCTTAGGTACTGGAGGAGAATGGGGGCACAGCCAATGAGTGCGTAGGGTAGCAGTGGCTGTGCCCCACTATTTCCACTTGCCCTGGCTCCCCCAAGCTCTTTCATGCCACACTGGCACTGAAACACCACCCTTGGAGCACTGGAGAGCTCACTGACTTGTCCCAGCTCTTAGCATCTCAGTAACAGTACAATGGGTGTTTTATTGGCTACCTTAAATCTTGCTATGAGAAGATTTAAAGGTTTCGTGAATCTCCTGATAAAACATGAAAAAGTAACTATTTTTACTTTTGTTATTCTTTCTTCAAATGTTTGTGTGTATATGGCTGTTTTGCACAGGTACGTGCACGAGAGTATGCAGGTACCTGTGGAGTCCAGAAGAGGGCTTCAGATCCCTGGGCCTGTAGTTTACAGGTGGTTGTGAGCTGGCCGATATGGATGCTGGGAACACAACTCAGATCTTCTGGGAGAGCAGAATATGCTCTTCACTACTGAACCGTCTCTCCAGTACCAATCAGAAGTAAGTCTTCATTAACCACAAACCCTGCAGGAGGATTAAAGCACCTGCGGGGGGGGGGGGGGGTTGTAGGGGAAAAGTTCCAGAGGCACCCAAACCCCAAAGATTACTGTAGTGTTTTCTGTAGCTCAGGGGGCTAACCTTTTTCCGCTATACCTACCAGGCCTTGCCTTTCTTTATTTGATTGGATTTTAGAACCCTAGTACACTACCTGGCACTAGAGAATGTTTGCCGATCAAGAACCCGTCCCAGCTCCTGATAGACTATAATTTAGCCTCCCTGGCCTAAGATCTTCTAGGATTGGTCACAGGGTTCTTCTCTCTCTCTCTCTCTCTCTCCCTCCCTCCCTCCTTCCTTCTTTCCCTTCCCCCTCCCTCCCTCTCTCCCTTCCCCCCCTCTTCTTCCCTCCCCCCTTCCTCCCCTTCCCCTCTCTCTCTCCCTTCTTCTTTCCCTCCATCCTCCCCTCTCTCCTAGGCTCTGGGATGTGCACAGTGGCACAGTGGCAAGGAAGGCCTCAGGATTCCTCTAGGGGCCCCTCATTCCTCTACCTAGGCCTTCTCTACCCACCACAGCTGGCTCCTCAGGCAGCACCTGCTTGTTCTCCCTCCAGGGTTGGGACACATCTGCCTACTGCAGTGCTCAGATAATTCCTCATTGCCTTCCCTGCTGACTACAGGAATTGAGTGATTTCCCCAGCCAGCCCCTGGGGGAACACAATTGAATGTTCCTGCAGCCAGTCCTTACTGGCCAAGGAGATCATGGCTGGGGCTGGTTCTAGGAAGAGTGAGGCCAGAATGTATTCTTAGGAGAGCAGGGAGGCTCTGAGGGATCACAGGGCTCCCTAATTAGGGCAAGTGGGGCGAGGCTGTGAGCCCGAGTGAAGCAACAGAATAAACAGGGGTGGAAGAAATTAGAGAGAGGAGGGTTCTGGAGGAGGGAACTTCTTGGAGAGATTTTGGTTTTTCCTAATTCTCTTTGAAGTTAGACTTCAAGTGGTATCCAGAGGGGAAAAGCAGGAAATAAAAAAACATCAGAGGCACCATGCCCAACTCCATGCCAGAGACGGGGTGCCAGGATCACTACACCCTGGGGAATGCAAGCTCATGACTGTCAGGAAGGGACTTTCTGGGCAACATCTTACTAAGAGACAGCAGTGTTCTGCAGGACAGGGACATGCTCTATGGACCATTTCTGGTTGTTTTGTTTGTGTGGGGATTGGGGGCTGTGCCACAGCACACTCGTGGAGGTCAGAGGGCATCTTGAAGCCATTGGTTTTCTCTTTCCTTCCACCTCCTGGGTTATAGGGATTGAGTTCAGCTTGTCAGGCTTGGCAACAAGCATCTTTGCTAGCTGAGAAACCTCCCCGCTTCTGTTATCATTTTTGCCTGTGGATGAGGTTTTGCTGTGTTGCTTAGGCTGGCCTTGAATTCTTGTGCTAAAGGTATCCTCCTGCCCTGGTCCCGCAAGTGTCTGAGACCAGCTCATTTCCGTACCCATGGTGTGTCTCCTATAGAGCCCGGTGCGATGTTCGCTCAAAGACTAGCCAGGCACCATCTCTATGCTATTCTGAGTTCTTATTCTTTCACAGGTTGGAGGATGAAGATTATTATCTCCATGCTGTGAAAGTGAGAAGGGAGGGGTCACGGGACTGCTCAGCATCAGAGAGTTTGAAGTAGGATTCAAACCGAGGCAGGCTGCTTTAAACGACTCTATTCCTGTTCAGTGTGCTCTATAGACTCTTGAAAGAGAGAGAGCAGAAAGAAGAAAAGCTTGCAAGTCATAAAATTGAAATGCTTAGTGGACATCACTCAAATCCTATTCCCAGTTTTTCACCAACGGAGGTCTAGGGAGACGAGTCTTGGCACTGGCAGAGGTGAGGGTTAGGACTCAGACCTCTGGACGTCCCGTCTCAGGTGCTCACCCCTCCGGGAAGCTGACTTTCGCTGGCTTCCATGAGAGCTGGCCCTCTGCTCTTGCGTTAAGCCCCCAGCTCACATGGTAAGGCTGGCTCTTTTGGGCACACTTGAGTTCCTTCCTGCTGGCCTTAGCAGCCCAACCCAGCAGGAAGGTGGCAAGTTTCCCCAGGAGGCAGGTAGGCAGTATCCCCGAGGGAAACTGCCGAGGCCGGAAACCTCAGAAACCAGGGCTCTGTCTGAGGCACCCAGGCCTCCAGAGTCCACTGAGGAACATGTAGTGTCCGGTGTGGACTCTCTGTGCTTGGGTCACTGCCGAAATTCCCAGTTCTTTGGTAACCTGAATACTTGACATTTTCAGGGTAATTTTTCTCCCAAGGCATTCGTTCCAGATCACTAATGTCTGGTACATGAGATATCATTTTTGATTCAACATATTTAAACCTCATTTTTCCCTCTAGACAAGACAAATTGAATTTGCAGCTTCCCATACGGGGGTTTTTGCAAAAAGATTGGTGCTGGGATGCACTGGGCTCCCAGGTTGATGTCGTCTGATTGGCCATGACAGTCCTTTCCCACTTCAGGGTATGCGGGAGTAATTGCAGTTACTCCAGCTGGGAGTAAGTATGCTCGGGCTTTTCTCCTCAGGGGGGAAAACAATTCTTAACAGATGAATGAGTTTTTGGCATTCGTGTTTCTCTCCACTGCCTGGAGGGCCCTTCTGGAATAGAAGCCTCAGAGCAGTAAACATCTGACCATCCACTGGGCTCGTCTCGTGGGCCGGGGAGGGCAGGGCTGTCCTATGTGCCCGGGACGATGCTGGGAAGGTAACTTGGGATCCAGGTTGGGTACAGGGGTGAGGCAAGAGGGAAGTAGATGACAGTCCTCAAAAAGGGAAGCTCCTGTGTGTCAGCCCGTGTTTCCCCCTCCAAACCAGAGCTCCCCGCTCCCCCTAGGACTTATCCAGCTTGTCCCTTTTGTGATGGTGACAAAACCCTAGCCCTAGTTATGGCTCCTGGCTGTCCTACCTTTAGAAGATAGATGGTCAAAGAATTGCACAGCAGGGTGAACCAGAGGTGCTAATCCTGGTGCCTGCTGCAGTCCAGGGCTCTGGCACTGCAGCTCGTGTACCCGCTGTGGCCAAGCTCAAGTGTTGCCCTCTTCTCGTGGCTCTGGTTGGCACAGTATTTGGGTTTTTCTCTTTCTGAGCTATCAGAATCCATGTACTGCAGTACGAACTGGAGCTGGGGAGTTGGCCCTAACCAGCTTTGTGGCAGTAAAATCTAATCTTGTTAAATAAAGCCTTGAATAACGTACTCCTTGCCAATACTTTCCAGCTGCCCAAGGCGACACAGCTCTGTGACCTTTAGTCAGTTGCTTAGCCTCTCTGAATCTGTGCTCATAGCTATAGAAAATGAATATAATACAAGTTGCTTTCCTCCACCCAGGTTATTGTAGGGGATCAGAACTAATGATGTGTATTAAAGTCCTTGATCGATGACAGGTACAGCACCGCTGTAAGGGAATCATTGTAATCACACCGTCTATTGTAAAGGGACAAGAATAGCTATTTCTTAGCAAGGCTGTAGCAACATGACGAACTCTATTATGATGGATAAAGAAAAGAGCCCGTCTTCCCAGTGGAAGAGCGACCCCAGACTAAATAGGGAGATCAATAAATAACCCCAGAGGGGAACAATGTGGAGGATTTGATAATAAGGCCTACTCAGGTATCGTCAATAACAAGAGTGCTCTTCAGGGACAGTAAGGTGGCTCAGTGGGTAAAGGCTCGCGCCACCAAGCCTGGCAACCCGAGTTCTACCCCCAGGACCCACATGGTGGAAGAAAAAGAGTGACTTTTTCAAACCATTCTCTGATCTCCACATGTGCACACACTCATGTACACACACACATATACACACATGCACACACTCATACACACAGGCACACACATGCACAGCAAAAATTTTAAACTGTTCTTTATTCTCATTAGAAAGAGTTGTCAGAATCAAGAACAATTATTCTTCTCTTTCCTAACTCTGGGATCAAACATTATTTTAGTTTTTGAGATCTGGTCTCCTGTAGCTCAGGTCCCTGAACTTCCGGTCTCCCATCTCTCAAATGCTGAGCCTGCCGGTGTGCGTGACCACGCCCAGCTTCAAACGTCACCTATTTAATACCATCCAGCTGGAGAGTTGGTTTTGGTATCCATGTGGCAGTAGTGGGTCAAAGTGAGTCACCTCCCTGCACAGGCTCAGGAAGACGCGCAGGCAGGAACTATTACCGCCATGCTTTGGAACAAGAATCTTCTGTTTGTTTCTCATTCCGGTTGGGATTAGCCCTGGTTTGACCAATCAGAATGTTATGCTCTTCTGGGCAGGGTGATTGGTTTCCGACAGTAGACAGGAAGTCCGAACAGACCAATGAGAGCCAGTCCGACTGATTTGGCTGGCGCAGTTAGGAAGGGCAGTTTCTCTCTCTCCTGCAAAGTTGTCAAAGCAAACAGCAAATACTTAGAGATTTTTTTTTTTGAAACTTCTAAGAGCACAACTAACGTTGAAAGAAGCAGGGCTGAGAGAGAGGCAGTGACTCCCACTGACGTGGTGTGAGAGCTGGAGGGGACAGATGAGGCAAGCCAGGGGTCTTAGTTACTTTGGCCTGACAAAGTATCTGGCAAAAGCTGCCTAAGCAAGGAATGGTTTCTTTGGCCTCACAGTTTGAGGGTAGAGTCCGGCATGGCGGCAGGCGCTCATGGCTTCTAGTGATATTGCGTCTCCAGTCAGGAAGCCGAGAGTGATGGTGCTCGCTTTCTGTTCAGTCCGAGACCACAGCCCATGGCCTGATGCCACCCACAGTTAGGTGGGTCTCCTTATCTCCACTAGTGTAATCTAGATTATTCCCTACAGGCTAACCCCTCACAAAAAACGCCCAGGACTCATCTCCCACGTTGACAATATTCATTATCATATAAAATAATCAGGTTTAGGATTAGCTAGCTTGAATAATTTCAGCGTTTTCAGTGGGCCAGAGTACACAAGAGTTTCCTAGCTGGTTATCTGGTAACTAACCCCAAGACTGTGGCTGGAGGGAGGCCCCGAGCATAAGAGCCCTGCCGGTAAGCGGGACCTGTTGGCTCAGTCTTAAAATCCCACCTACCCAGGCAGCTAAGGTAGGAAGATTCCAAATTCAAGGACTTTCTGGGGGTACAGGGTGAATTTAAGATTAACCTTGGTAATTTAATCGGATTCTGACTCGAAATAAAAAGTCAGAAAAGAGCTAGAGATGTGGTAGTTTTGTGGTGCAGAATTTAGCTAGCATGCACGAAGTCCTGGGCTGCTGGGGATTGGCTAGCGGGAAGCCCTGGGCTGCTGGGGATTGGCTAGCGGGAAGCCCTGGGCTGCTGGGGATTGGTTAGCAGGAAGCCCTGGGCTGCTGGGGATTGGCTAGCGTGAAGCCCTGGGCTGCTGGGGATTGGCTAGCGTGAAGCCCTGGGCTGCTGGAGATTGGTTAGCGGGAAGCCCTGGGCTGCTGGGGATTGGTTAGCGGGAAGCCCTGGGCTGCTGGGGATTGGCTAGCGTGAAGCCCTGGGCTGCTTGGGGATTGGCTAGCGGGAAGCCCTGGGCTGCTGGGGATTGGTTAGCGGGAAGCCCTGGGCTGCTGGGGATTGGTTAGCGGGAAGCCCTGGGCTGCTGGGGATTGGCTAGCCTGAAGCCCTGGGCGGTTGGGGACGAGCACAATAGAGGAAGTGGTTGGAAGCGTGTGCTCTGGGTTGGTTGGTCTTTGTTTGAACTGTTTGCTCTCTAAGAGAATCAGTTGTTCAAGGTGTCAAAGCCTCGGAAAATTAAAAACCATGATGAACACATCCAGAATGGCTGTTCATTCTCTCGGAGGCCAGTCTGGGCTTGTTCACAGGGTAGCGGTGGAGCGTCCCAGCAGCAAGCGAGGACAAGCCTCCGGGTATGAACACTTTTTTTTGGCTTCTGTTGTTTATTGTTGGCCATTGTCCTGTGGGGTAAAGCATGTCACGTATCCAAGCACACAGTCGGGATGGGAGGGGGCTACACGGTGGGGATTGGAGTGTACCTCAGAAGGGTTCTTTGTCTGAAACCCATCACTGTAGAAACCTGCCTGTTAGCCCACTGGAGAAGTGCAGTCCCTGGTGCTGGCTGCAACCCAAGGACATCCCCCTCCCATCTTAGGGACTTCCATGCTGTGGCCTTGACTACATTGCAGAGAAGAATTTCAGGACGGATCAGTCTGAAACAGAATTGTGTTTATTCAATAAAGATGAGAGTAAAGGAGAGCAAAAAATTAGATTTAAAGGGAGCCAGAGAGGATGAGTGGACGCAGAGATTGTGACACACTTGCCTGTGTGATCCCAGCATGTGTGAAATTGAGGCAGGAAAATTATAAATCTAGGGTCAGCCTAGGCTATATAGCAAGACTCTGGCTCTAAAGAAGTAAACAGAATTTAAAAAGAAAAGGATGATAGTGTACACCTAAGGCAAGGCATAGGTTCAGCTCTCTCAAGAGTGATCCCGAATGGCTAACCAACATCTCTATATATGACCGTATGGATTTTGATACAATAAAGGACAAGATTTTAAACTGAGTTTAAAGATAAAGAAAAGTTAAAACAAATTAAGTTTGAAACAAAAGAGGGGCTAGAGATGTAGGTCAGTTAGTGATATGCTTGTTTAATGTATATGAAGCCCAGGATTCAAAGGCCAGAATTTTATCCCCGGCACGGCACAAACCAGGTCTGATAGCATATACCTGAAACCCCAGTCCTCCAAAAGCAGAGGCAAGAGAATCAGAAGTTCAAGACTGTTCTTGTCTATATCGTAGCAACTTTGAGACCAGCCTGAGACATCTGGCTGTCTTAAAATATGGATGAATTGGTTTCTCTCATCTTTACACATTGTGGGGTGTAAAGTGCTTGGTTAGGTTTAAAGTTGGGACAGGAGGGCTGATGGAGTGAGGTCATCGCGTGCACACATTCTGGCCTTAAGCAAGTATGGCTTCTTATAAAAGTCTTGTTTGACATCTCTCTCAGAGAAAGGCTTTGTCCCTGCAGGCTATCTTCTGTGATTTGTCGGTTGTGTTGATATTTTTGACTCTCAGCCAGGGAGACATGTAACCGAGAGCCTGGGACCAGGGCTCCTTTCTCTTTCCATGCCCCCTGTATCTTCTCTGCCCTGCCACGCACCAACAGCTTTCCGTGGCGGGGCTGCTGCAAGGGTGAGATGAAGCAAAGTGTGCCTCTTGCTGAATTCTCCTGTTGATAGAATTCCCCTAATCTTGTCCACATGACAAAGGTTTGGAAACCACGGCTGCCCTGGGATCGCCTAAGGGGACAAACTGTCCACAACTCTGCCTCCTCCTGTGCCTTTTGCTTTGCCTTTAAACTTAATAGCCTGGATGCTAAGGGGGTGCACGGAGTTAGCTGGACACTCATTTCAGCCGCGGATGTTTGTTTTGTGCCAAGACCTGTCCTAGAGGCTGGGGTTATGGAAGAAAGCAAAACAGGTAAAAAAGACAACCTTGACTTCCTACACGTGTATGAGGAACTATCAGTTAACAAAATATATGAATGTAGGGGAAAATGGACAGGGAAGGAGGGGATCAGTGACTAGGTTTAAAGAGTTTTTCAGGGCTAGCAAGGTAGTTCAGCAGGTGAAGCCCTTCCAGTGCATGCCTGACAACCTAGGTCAATGGAGGGAACCAACTGGGCCTTTGACCTCCACAGGCTTACAGTGTCATGTTTACACCACCCAAACAAACAATAAGCACATGATGTCAATAAAGTTTTTAAAATAATTATTAAAGAGCTCTTTACCCAAATGATGCAGCCTTGGGCCAGCGGTGAGTCTGAGGCCATGCCAGTGAGGAAGGTGATAGACCTAGGTATAAACCTGGAGACCACAGTACAAGTATTGACCTACTGTGAGTGTGTGGCCTAGACCTTAACCTTAGGATGGTGACGGGGCCAGCGCGTGCTTTTCCTGACAGCTGATGCTCTGACTGGGAAGCAGAATGGCTTGCCAATGGAAAACTAATGGGAATGCGGATGTGTGTTTGGGGCGAGAACGAGGTGGGTTCAGGTCAGGTATCCATGGATTCATCTTGGCCTGGACATAGGACAGAGGGCTCAGGTCAGAGCCTCTGATATGATTTATGAAGCAAACCTTATAAGGCCTCTAGGCCTCTGTTCTATTATCCAATAGCTGGGATGGACACTAAGACACCCTGCCATGTTCTGCCAAGGGTGGCAAGGATCACAAACCCTGCCTTCCTGAAGTATGGGGGGAGGGGGCTGGTGTGCAGATCCATTTCATGTATTTTATAACACAGTCTAATGCTGTAAGAGGGAGGCAACTGGGGTCTTGATTATCACAGGCCAATGTGGATAGGCTATGCAGCCTATGCCTATGGCTTGTTCTCCCTAGAGAAATCCATATATTTTATACTACATATACCCCGAGGGCAGGTGTTGCCTCATGAATTCCTGAGTGTTTATGTCTGTATGTGGTATGGTGTGTGTGTGTGTGTGTGTGTGTTTGGAGTGTGTATGTGGTATATGTATATATATATATATGTATATATATGTTTGGAGTTGTATGTGTCTGTGTGGTGTGATGTGTGTTGTATGTGTATGTGTGATACATATATTTATGTTTGGGGTATGTGTATGTGTTGTGTGTGTGTGTATATATATATATGTGTGTTTGGAGTTGTATATGTGTCTATATGTGTGGTGTGATGTGTGTGTGTTGTATGTGTGATACATATACGCATGTTTGGGGTATGTGTATGTGTTGTGTGTGGGTGTGGGTGTGTGTAGTGAGGTGCTGAGCAGAGGGGAGGTTTTCTGATCTGCAATATTTCCCGGAGCCATGTACCTGACAAGGTACACTGGTCTTTGTAAGGGAGCTTCTATCTGTGGTTTAGCGACTGTCAGTACCAAGGGGAAGCCCAGGATGGATGGCTCGCACATCTCATCAGGTCTTTGGCCTGCCCTAGCCCATAATCTGCACAGCTCCCAAGTTTCAGGGAATTCCCTCGAGGGTAGGGTGAGTAATGACCTGCTCTGGCACTGAGAACGGATAAAGCACTCAGGATGGGGGTGGGGAGGAGCTTGCCCCAGGTTTGAACCATGTCACCATGGGTAAGACCTGAAAAGGAGGCAAAATGTCTTGTTGTACAAATGGTCTAAGTGGGACAGGAGGCAGGACTCTGCGCCCCACAAATGATCTGAGGGGTTCCCTTCCTATATAGTTTTAATATGATAGGGTGGCTGCCAAGTGGTCATCGTGACCCCCTTGGGCAGGGGGAGCTGGCTTCCATTGTCACCCAGGGCACAGTGGGCTGGCAGGGCAGAGGGGGAGGGGCAGCCTGGGGGCTGCTGGGTAGACTCTTCCTGGGAGCTGCAGGCATCCCTTCTGCTGCATCTCACAGCTGGCTCCCACTGCTCTCTCCTTGTTTGGTTTACTAAATCTCTGTTTTGGTTCACTGTTTCACACCCCCTCTGACAGCCTGCTGTCCCCCCTCAAGGCCCTGGGACATCTGCCAGGCAGGGAAATCAAATGTGAAGTTAAACACAGCTCAGATCCTCATCATACTCCCATTGTCTCTGCCCTCCCCCGTCTGCTCTATCCTCAGAAATGCAGGATGCTCAGGCAGCCAGGAACCTCTCCAGAAAATTTTTATCTTGGAAATCCACCCCACAGTACAGTCTTGGATCTGTAGCTGAGCTTCATCAGCGGCTAGCGTTGTGTTGATCTTGTTTATCTAAGCCCAAGTCTGTATTTTTCTGAAGTAGATATCAAAAGTAAGCCCTTGTCTTAGTGACTGTTCTACTGCTGTGACAAAGCTCACTGACCAAGGCGACTTATAAACTAAGGCATTTAATCATGGGGCTTGCTCACGGTTTCAGAAGTCGAGTCCATGATCGTCATGGCAGAGGCGTGGCAGCAGGCAGGTAGACGTGGTGCTGGAGCAGTAGCTGAGCTCTTACATCTGCTTCACAAGGTGGAGAATGAGCAGGGCATGGGATTTTGAAACTCCAAAGTCCACCCCCAGTGATACACCTCCTCCAACAAGGCCACACCTCCCAATTCTTCCTAAACAGAAATAGTCCACCATCTGGGACCCAAACATTAGACTGTATTAGCCTATGGGGGCCATTCTCATTCCGACCGCTACAGCCTTTGACCTCATGCCCATTCAATCTAAACTGCATCAGTTTGGATACTAATGTGTACGGCGGCACTTGGAGATCACTGGACACCACGCTATCCTCACACCTAATCACCATTTAAAATGGAATCCAGATTCAAATTGCCCTCCTCTCAAAACCGTCTTCTGCCGCTGGCTTGGACTAATATCTGGAACTCAGAGGTCGCTGAGAAAAGGAAAAGTGAGTAGAATTCGAATCCGAAACTGAACCTTTGCTCTCAGACTCCTTGCAGAAGGCGCTGTTAGGTTTCTCAGCTCTTTAGGCCACCGTGTGAGGACAGAAGGCTTGGGCTGTGCCGCACTCAGTGCCCGATCAGCTGTGGTGACATCCTACGGTGTGACTATCTGCAGGAGTCTGTACCGATGTGCCCTTCTTATAAACATTCCCCTGCAGCTGCTCTGTCTTCTCGTTGATCTTTGCTGTGATGTGGGTACTTCTTTGCCATGGTGGACTCCCTCCTTCCCCAGGACCATCTTTTTCTCTACACCCCTTCCCTCAGGAGGTGAGGGGCCCTTCCTTTAGCGCCAGGGTGTGGTCCTTGCACCACTCTGGATACTCTGCTTCCTGGTTTCCCCACTTCCCTTGCAGTTCTCTGACTTTGGGTTACTCTGGTAACAGAGCTGGAGATGGTGTGTGTGTGTGCGTGTGTGTGTGTGTGTGTGTGTGTGTGTGTGAGAGAGAGAGAGAGAGAGAAAGAGAGAGAGATAGTGTGTGTGAGAGAGAGTATGAGAGTGTGTGTAAGAGAGAGTGTATATGTTTGTGTGAGAGTGTGTGTGTCAGAGAGTATGTGTGTGCATGAGAATGTGTGTGTGTGAGAGAGTGTTTGTGTGTAAGAGAGGGAGTGTGTATGTTTGTGTGAGAGAGTGTGTGTATCAGAGAGTATGTGTGTTCATGAGAGAGAATATGTGTGTATGTGTGTGTGTGTGTAAGAGAGAGAGGGGGAGAGAGAGAGAATAGATTCTGGTATAGAAAGTGGATTAGGCAAGTGTCCATAGGAGGCAAGAGTGAGGATCAGGGAGAGTGGGGTCAGTAAGAAAGTACCTTATTAATCTGGTTACTGCAGTGGGTAGCTCAGTTCTCTGCCTCCAGTACCCCATGACTGTTCCAGTGAGAGAAGAAAGCTGAGTGGTTACCGCTCAGAGACATACTCTGGATTTCAGGCTGTGTGGGGGCTGAGAGGGCTCCAGGGCAGTGTTGCTGTGCTGTGGAGAGCACTGAGCAGAGGAGCCACTGGCCCCAACTGTGGTGACACGGGTGTGCCAGGGCTCTGAGAGCATCTGTTGCAGCAATTTCACTTGTGTGTGTGTGTGCGCGCGCGCGTGGTGTGTATGTATAATTTGCTGTTGTTCTTTTGAGACACAGTTTCTCTGTGTAGCCCTGACTGTCCTGGAACTAGCTCTTGTAGACCAGGCTGGTCTCAAACTCACAGAGATCCGCCTGCCTCTGCCTTCCGAGCACTGGAATTAAAGGTGTGAGCCACCACTGCCTGGCAGCAATTTCACTCTTTTTTGCAGCTGACTTGTTAGCACTAATGACAGCATAATATATTTGCTGCTTCCTGTGCTCAGTCACTGACCTTGTGGCTCCCCAGGCATCTCATCGCCTGAAGACCCATCTCCCTGTGTAGATGACAACTGGCCTACGTGTTGAGCGATCTCTGGTGAGAGCTGGGGAATGGGGGCAAAGCTGCACCTGGGGAAGATACTTCTCTTTGTCTTTTCAGTTGGTTCTGCCCTCCCTAGTCTGGTAGTCTGAGAGGTTGAGTTCCTGGGTAAGAGACCCTCTGGGGCTGAGGATGACAATGTATTGGGAACTCTGCTGGATTTGTGTAGATGGACATCAGTGGACTTGGATGCGGATGTTAAAAAGCCTGGAGTCAAGCTGGGCATGGTGGTACACACCTTTCATCTCAACACTCAGGAGGCAGAGGCTGGTAAATCCCTGTGAGCTCCAGGCCAATACCAGTTCTAGGACAACCAGGGCTACATGGAGAGACTCCATATCATCAAACCAAAAACTTGAAGTGAATTGTCCTAAACTTCTTTTGGAAGACGGTCGCTTGCTTCTGTACAGATAACCAGAAAAATTTCAGGATAGGATCTTCTGCAAGGTGCTTCTCAATGGCTCTGGCCTTTTCTCACGAGATGTGGCAAGGAAAAGGCCTAGCTTTGGTTGGTCTCTGTGGCCAATGTCTGCAGTCTCTGCCACATGTTTGGCACATGGCATGCGGCACACGTGAGCTTCTGTCTTGGGGGAGATAAACAAAATACCTGTATTACTTACTTTTCTGCTGCTATGATCAAAACGCCGCAACCAAAAAAATTTAAGGAAGAGAGCTTATTTTGACTTACAACTCCGGAGGGAGAAGAGTCTGCCATGGAAGTACGGAGGCATGGCAGCAAGCAACGGGCATAGCAGCAGGAGCAGGGAGCGGGCGGCTTACATCTGAAACTGCCCCAGCCGGACACGATAAGGCTTTATGCTTTCAAATCCTGCCTCCACTGACATATTTTCTCTAACAAGGCTGCACCATGTAAATCTCCCCAAATGGCACACCAGCTGGGGATGAAGTGTTTGAACGTCCACCATTGTGTGGGGCCCTTCTCATTCAACCACAATGCCCAAGGGGAGAAAAGAGTCAGAAAGGACAATTCAAAGGGTAATCTCTGCTCCTGGGGACTGGGCAGTGCCACCACACAGAGCAGAACAACACCTCCAGGCCTTTGCTCTGGGGACCCCTTTTAGTGTAGACAGTTTTCCCCAAGCCCTTTGGTTGAGCCTTTTAGGCTCACGGCTGCTCAGAAACAAGATAGCCTTAGCCTGTCCCAGCCACCAAGGACCTGATGCATCAACTCCAGGTCCCTGTACCTACCCCATGGTGGCATGTTATATCTGAACCCTTCTAGGCCTCTGGGGCCCAAGAAGCTTTACACCCTCAGACAGTGCCACCAAATTTTGTCATCCTGCCATACAGACTCCTTCCCCGCCTGAGATGTCACCTCCAGGAATCCACGGGATGGAGAACTAGAATCCCCAATGACCTTTTCTTCCAAGAGCGTTTGTGTGTGGTGATGGCTTAGGCCTGGTTGCTGAGTCCAGTCTACCGGGCGTGGGTCCTGGGGTGCAAAATGACAGGTGACCTAACCGGAGTGAGAGGCTCGGATTCAGGACTCCCCTGGCCAAGTCACTACATACACATGATGGAACCGGAAAGAGCTTGAAATGCTACGGCAGGTATGTTTTCTATTTTATCTCTTTTTTTTTTTGATCCTATTCTGATCTTTATTTTTATTTATTTATTTATTTATTTATTTATTTATTTATTTATTTTTTATTAAAAATTTCCACCTTCTCCAATTTCCTTCCCCTCCCCCTACTCCCTTTCCCTCTCCCTCTCCAGTCCAAAGAGCAGTCAGGGTTCCCTGCTCTGTGGGAAGTCCAAGGTCCTCCCCCCTCCATCCAGGTCTAGGAAGGTGAGGATCCAAACAGACTAGTCTCCCACAAAGCCAGTTCATGGAGTATAATCAAAACCCAGTGTCATTGTCCTTGGCTTCTCAGTCAGCCCTCCTTGTCCACCACGTTCAGAGAGTCCGGTTTGATGTAGTCACCTGCTACATCAGTCCCAGTCCAGCTGGCCTTGGTGAGCTCCCATTAGATCAGCCCGCCGTCTCAGTGGGTGGGTGCACCCCTCGTGGTCCTGACTTCCTTGCTCGTGTTCTCCCTCCTTCTGCTCCTCATTTGGACCTTGGGAGCTCTTGTCTCTTTGTTTTTAAACCAAATTGTTTCTCTTATCCATTCCTCTCTTTTTCTGTGGATTATATGGTGGGACCTATGCTCACTCATTCTCAGACAACGCTGTTTACACGGGGCTTCCCCTGTCCTTAGTAATGGGGTGATCATGTGACTCAGGCCTTGCTAAAGAGCCCTCCTTACAGTATTCACCGGCACCACTAAATGAGAAAGATGTCCGTCTCTGTCATGATGGTCACCAGGGACCCCATGAGCCCGGAGATGCTGAAGGCCATCTTCGCTACACCCTGGGGGAGAGCGAGGCTGCTGGAGGAAGACAGAAGTGAAGGGAGAGTGTTGGAGATGGATTGGGTCTTTATTTCTTACCCTTATGGGTCTCTTTCCTTAAGGGTTTGCCTTGGGTTGTAGACACTAATAGATAAATAGATTCCAATTGGCAGCCATGTCCCTGGACTCTCAAGCAACCTAAGGAGACCAAAGCCACATCTGTGCCACCCTCTGTGGTCTATCTTCATTCAGGAAATTGGGGTCCCATTGCCCCCTTAAGTTGCATACAAGTACATGGACTGAATAGCATCCCCCCCCAAATTCATATATTGGAATCCTAGCCCCCAAGCTGATGGCATTAGAAAGTCTGAGAGAGTGATTCGTTCACAAGAGCTCTGTAAATGGAGCTAGTGTTGTTTAAAAGGGACTTCCTCCGAGGCCCCCTCCTCTTTTTCTACCATGTGAGGGTACTGCATTAAGATGGCAGCTGCAGCCAGGCAGTGGTGGCACATGCCTTTAATCCCAGCACTCGGGAGGCAGAGGCAGGTGGATCTCTGTGAGGTCAGGGTCAGCCTCGTCTACAAGAGCTAGTTCTAGGACAGCCAGGGCTACACACAGGAAACCCTGTCTCTAACAACAACAACAACAAAGACGACAGCTACAGTTTGTAAGATAGCCCTCGTAGACCTGATCATGTTGGATCTTATCCTTGACATCCAGTCCCCAGAACTCTGGAGAGAAGATGTCTGTTGTTCACACCTCCCAGCCCGCAGTCCTCGGCTGTAGCAGCTGGTAGGTAAGCTGACACCCCGTGCTCCCCAGCAAGTGACTGATAAGCAGGGTGTTGCTGATTGTGACGGCAAAGGAGGAAAGGGCTTAACTTCAGATTTTTGTGGGGTCCTCCTTAGCATTTCATCTCCAGAGACACCACTGATCTTTGTGGTGGGGAAACGGTCTTTTGAGTTGCCATGGAAATGGTAGTCTTTGAGAACCAGCCCCACAGTCCCTCTGGACAGGAACTGAGCAGGTCAGATCCTATGTGGGCTGAGGGGACACTGTTCTGCGGCCACCATGGGCCCAGGTCATTGTTTCTGCTCTGTGAGCTTGGCTGATCTGTTCAG